GTGGATGCAGTGAGTGTGTTAGTGTGTAGTGTATGCAGAGTGTATATTGTATTAGTGTGTGCAGTGTGTGTGTTGTGTTAGTGTATGTGGTGTGTGTGTTGTGTTAGTGTATGCAGTGTGTGTGTTAGTGTATGCAGTGTGTGTGTTGTGTTAGTGTATACAGTGTGTGTTGTGTTAGTGTATGCAGTGGGTGTGTTGTGTTAGTGTATGCAGTGTGTGTGTTGTGTTAGTGTATGCAGTGTGTGTGTGTTGTGTTAGTGTATGCAGTGTGTGTGTTAGTGTATGCAGTGTGTGTGTTGTGTTAGTGTATGCAGTGTGTGTGTGTTAATGTATGCAGTGTGTGGTGTGTTGTGTTAGTGTATGCAGTGTGTGTTGTGTTAGTATGCAGTGTGTGTGTGTGTTGTGTTAGTGTATGCAGTGTGTGTGTGTGTTGTGTTAGTGTATGCAGTGTGTGTGTGTGTTGTGTTATAGTATGCAGTGTGTGTGTTGTGTTGGTGTATGCAGTGTGTGTGTTGTGTTAGTGTATGCAGTGTGTGTGTTGTGTTAGTGTATGCAGTGTGTGTGTGTGTTGTGTTAGTGTATACAGTGTGTGTGTTGTGTTAGTGTATGCAGTGTGTGTGTTGTGTAAATGTGCAATCTGGGGGGGGAGGGGGAGGAAGGGGCATTTTAACATTAATTTTTAATTAATTTAATTAAATGTTTCTCCCCCCTCCCTGCTTACCTGTATCCAGGGAGGGGGGAGCTTCCATCTGTGGTGGCCCGGTGGCATGGGGCCCCCCGGCTCCCTGTTACCGTCCACAGAGGGGGCCCAGGCAGCACACACAGCTTCTCCTCCTGTCGTCTCTCTTCTCATAACTCTCGCGAGACCCGCGGAGCGTTGCCATGGTAACCGGTCTCGCGAGAGTTATGAGAAGAGAGAAGACAGGAGGAGAAGCTGTGTGCTGCCTGGCTGGGCCCCCTATGCGGACGGTAACAGGGAGCCGGGGGCCCGCGGCTGCCCACATAGATAGCGAGATTCGCTATCTATGTGTGCAGAGAAACAAAGTGGTGCCCAGGACTGCCAGAGCAGTCCGGGCCCCCCAGGGCCGCCGGGCCCGTGACAACTGTCACGGTTGTCACCCCCTGATGGCGGCCCTGAGCGTGGGTGGGGTCTGCTGGGGTAATGTGTAGGCGCATGAGGAGGATAATCTGAATAATAGGAGTGATGGCGAGTGTGGGAGACAATAGGTCTTCTGGGATCTTGTTGGTTAGGGATGGTGGAGGGGTGATTGAAGGTCTGAGATGTGTATTTGGACTTATTGTTGAGGTGGTAAGTCCTTACTTGGTTCTTTGTGTAGTCATGTTTATCTCGGATATATTTTTTTACTTTAATGTGTTTAGTGTCCATCTCTACTTTTTCTATTTTGTTTTGAATGATAATAGAATTTTGTTTGAATACTTGTGTCTCTGTGAATGGTAAAAGTTTGTCCTGAAGTTTTTTTATTTCAGCGTCTAATAATGATAACTTTTTACTCTTTTTTTAGAATTAAAGTTTCCATAAGACCAAAAGTGCATGATTCGAGCTTGTTGTTCCACTCTTGCATGAACTCATAGTCATCTTGGTCTCATTTCATATGATGTACAAAGACGCATCTACACCACTACAAAAGACTGTATTCACCTCTACAAAGATATACCTCGTTGTTTGATTCATCTACCAGTCAGACTATTTATTCTGGACTTCTATTTGCTTATTATCTATCATATATATTGCATTCTAGTCTGCCTATACTGCGCTCTTTTAATTTATGTGGTTTATAGTGGCGCTGCCTTCCTTTCTTTTTTCTGTCCCATATATATATATATATGTATATATGATATATATATATTATAGCTATATATTATGTATATATACATATATATATATATATTTTATATAATGTCATACTAAGTGTATTTTTTATTAATATATACATTTATTAATATAAAAATACACTTAGAGTAAAATTACATAAATAAATAATAATTAAATAAAAATAAATAAAAAATATCAATATATGAAAACAATTAATAAAATGATATATATATATATATATATATATATGTAATTTAATTCTAACTGTATTTTGATATTAATATATATTTATATCAAAATACACTTAGAATGAAATGATATTTATATCTATGTATATATAAATAAATAAAAATAATACAAAATATACATATGTCCTTATACGTAATTACATAAATAATTTCATAAATATACACATAGACTTCAAATATAGAAATATGTATATATATATTTAAATTCTACATGCATATTTATGTAATATTTTTAAATAATTAAGTAATTTTATTGATTGCCGTTTGGGGGGTCCTGTCTGACAACCCAGGCAGAAAGTCCAGATAATTTAATTTGCTAGCACTATATTTAACCCTGTAACTTTACAAGGCACCCTAAAACCTGCACATGGGGGATACTGTTTTACTCGGTAGACTTCACTGAACACAAATATTAGTGTTTCAAAACAGAAAAACATATCACCGCGATGATACTGTCAGTGAAAGTTAAGTTTTTGCATTCTTCACACACAAACGGCACTTTTACTGATGATATCATTGTTGTGACACATTTTACTGTTTTGAAACGCTAATATTTGTGTTCAGCGAGTGTAACAGTACAACCCATTTATAGGTTTTATAATGTTTTTGAAAGTTAGAGGGTCAAATATAAGGCTTGAGTTTACGTTATTTTCACATTGAAATTTGCCAAATTGGTTATGTTAGCTTTGAGAGAGTATGGTAGCCCAGGAATGAGAATTACCTCCATGATGGCATACCATTTGCAAAAGAAGACAACCCAAAGTATTGGAAATGGGGTATGTTCAGCCTTTTTTAGTAGGCGCTTAGTCACAAATACTGGCCAAATTTAGCATTCATAACTGTTTTTTGCATTTTTAACACACAAACAAATATAAATGCTAACTTTGGCCAGTGTTTGTGACTAAGTGGCTACTAAAAAGACTGGACATACCCCATATGTAATTGGTTGTCTATTTTCAAAAAGTATGCACATGTGAGGTGTGATTCAGAGATTTATGACAGATAACATCGTTACAATGTCACTATTGATACATTTTCAATATTTATATTTTGAAACAGCAATGTCCTACTTGTATTTATAGCCCTAGAACTTGCAAAAAAAGATGTTAACATTGGGTATTTCTAAACTCAGGACAAAATTTAGAAACTATTTACCATTTATGTATTTTTTTGGCATTTGTAGATGTGTAACAGATTTTGGTATGGTGCGTTTTTTTTTATTTTTTCATCATATTTTATAATTTTTTTTATAGTAAATTATATGATATGATGAAAATAATGGTATCTTTAGAAAGACCATTTAACGGCGAGAAGAGAAAAACTGTATATAATATGTGTGGGTACAGTAAATGTTTCAAATTGCTCTAAAATGTAATGCTGGCCATGATAGAAAGGTGTCAGAAACACAGTGCATCATAGTTTGCTGCGTATGGGGACAAGAAAGTCAGAACTAGATTGTGGAGCAATGGAAGAAGGCTGCCTGGTCTCATAAATCATGTTTTATTTTATTTTTTATTTTTTCAATTTGACAATTTTTATTTGTCTTAGAACATTTGGGGTACAGAAAAGAGAGGGAGGGTTAGGGGGGAAAAACATTGTTCTAGTATTACATGTTACACAGTACATAACTACATTGTTTCCGTGAGTGCCTTATACAACCCTTGGGTCAATACAGCTATCTGCCACAGTATAACCTGGTCCAAGGTAGTATGTTCCGTCCATGTTGTCCCTGTGTGGGATATTTGTTATGTGACACTTACATGTGTGTTTGAAGTGTAGGCAAACCAGCACAAGAGGAGGTTACTCTAGGTGTTATCTCATGAGCGAGGGAGGGGGGTGAGGTGAGGAGAAGTGGGGCGTGACAGCATCCTTCATGTTAGTCATTGTGGATACATCGAATCCACTCAGGTTCGCGTGGTTGTAGGATTTTAAATGTCTGTAGTTCCCTGTTTCACGTAGACATGCTACCCTATGACTCGCTATAGTGGTGCGATTGTGGATCTACCAGATCCCTTGTTGCATTTGAGGTGTGTGCTTCCTGTTGTTAGGTGTGTCTTTATGTTGGGTGTTTTAGCTCCCAATCTTCCCAGACTTCATGTTTCCAGCTATTGACACCTGTGAAATGTTAGATTTGTATTTCCCAACTTGAGACACATATTTAATTATTTTGTGTGTTGAGGCGTTATTTGGCGATAGCCAGTTTTTTGCTATAAGTTGTTGAGCTGCCACCAGTATATGAAATATTAAATATTTTACTGATTTAGGGTAGGTGGAGCCAAACATGAATAGGAGTAGTGAAGACGGGGTATTTGGTATTGTGACTGACGTGTGTTGGTGTATTAGTGAGATGACCGCATTCCAATATGGTTGGAGTTTCGAACATTTCCACCAGATATGGAGAAATGAGCCTGTTTCTGTTTTGCACCTCCAGCATGTGCTGGGTAGTGTCGGGTCCATCGTGGCCAGTAGTGTGGGGACCATGTGCCAGCGATAAAGGATCTTACGGGTTATTTCTAGGTGAGAGGTGCACAGTGTTAAACCTTTTGTTATGTTTGCTGATGCTAACCAAGTTTTATCTGGTATTGTCTGGTTTAGGTCTTTTTCCCAGGAGAGTACACAGGGAAGGGTTTTAATTTCACGTCTGGGTAGCAGCAAAGCGTATGTGGTGGATATAGGTTTTTTGACCTGTTTTTCTGCTGTAAGAAATTTCTCAAATTCTGTCAGGGTAATACTAGCCTGGGATTTAAAGTTCTGTAAATTGGTTTTCCACCAGGATGATAATTGGAGGTAGGAGTGATGCGCCGTATTCGGGAGGGTATGACTTTCTTTTAGTTGGTCAAACATGGCTAGTTTCCCTTTGTTTTGGAGAGTATATACGTGAAGCACCCCACATCTGTTCCAGACTTTATAATAGAAATCTGGTATCACCCGTGCTAAAGCTTTGATGGGGATTGAGAGGGGGGTTGGGTGGTTGCTACACAGGAGTTTACGCGAGATGTCCCAAAGTTTTAACATTGCCAGGGTGGCTGGGAGTGCTTGTGTTGTGTCACCCCTTCTGTGTGGGGGTAGCCACATTAGTGTTTTAATGTCTTGGTTTTGTAGCCAGTGTTGTTCTATGGATACCCATGGTGGTCGGTTATATTCTTGGGTGGCAGGGAAGAGGCTGTCCAATACTGCTGCTCTGTAGTACATTTGCACATTG